CGCCCCCCCCCCTCTCTACAATAGCTCTGTGCCTCAAACAGTTAGCCCAATTTGCTGTTAACAAGAAAAATTGGAGAACAGACAAAGGCATTAAGTGTTGCAGTGCCAGATAGTGACTGACAGCAGCTTGTGGGAATTGGCTAGCAGAAATTCCTCCTAAGTGGTTTGTTCAGAAAACATCCGACGATCAAGGCAGATGTTGTTTATCCAGTTTAGGTAGAAGAGAAACGTGCAGTTTGAATAACAAAAGCTGGGACACACAGAAAGAAAAAGACATTCGCTTTTTTCTAATGGCCAAATTCTCACCCTCTTGGATTCTGTCCCTGTGTCTGTTTGTCTGTTTGTCTGTTTGTCTGCAGTCCATGTGACGACAGTCTGATTTGATGGTGAATTCAAAATAATTCATATCAAAAATACAAATAGAATGACAGATTTTTGAAGTTATAACTTACCTAAAAAAATAAAAAATAAAATAATAATACAAATTGTTGTGGTAGTTTAAAGGTTTAAAGTTAAAATTAGAACTTCACTGCTCATTAGTAGAGATATATTAATTTAGATCGTGTGAAAACAAAAGATATTTTTTTTCCCCAAAAATCTGAAACATCACGTTTAGTTATAAAACTGTAAAAGGCCTTTTATTCTGATTATCTTGGAGAAAACATTTGAGTAAAATAATAATTAAAAAGCAAAGATTGTACTCTGTTGCAGTTTCACTCTGAGTTAAAAAAATAAAAATAAAACACGGCAAACAAGTTTTTTTTTTTAAAGTCTCATTAGTGAGAATTAAAACTCCCTGTTTATTTTCCTTGTTAAATATTTTTTGATCAGCGTCTGCATCGCAAATATTTTTGTTTTGATCAAACCCGCCGTTAACGTTCTGGTCGTTGGCTGATAAAAATGCACCAAACCGTAAACTACCACTTTGTTGCTTGCCTTGCAGTTCCTTTTAACTTCCACGTTCTCTGCACGGAGCGAGTGTTTGAATGAACTTTTTCCTCATCAGCTTGTTTAGTGTTTTTTTTTTTTTCAAATCTTGCCATATTTTCCCATGGCCTTTTTTAAGTACAGAGCTGGGATGTGGAGTTCAGGTGGATTTAATCTAATTTCCCATTCCTCTTCCTGCCTGTTAGGTGACAGGTGTAGATAGCTAATAGTTTGCAGAGGCCTTTGTTTGCATGTGAGGCAGACAGGGTGGTGCACTGTCTAGGTGATAAGAACCAAGACTCCTGTGCCCTCCAGCACAGTGATCTCTCTTCTCCACTCTGTGGAAAAAACAGCCTGTTATGATTGGTCTCAAGGCAAGTGCCTGTGCAGTGTTGCACCTCTGTACAGCAACTGCTCATTCACCTTGCCTTCCCTCTGAGACCTGCACTAGTTTCCAGGCAAATGACACAATTTGATATGCTGTTGGGGTGATTCATGTGGATAATGTTTCCGTGTGATCGTCACTGCAGAGAGGACACTATTTCTTGTTGGGATGATTTTCTTTTCTTTCTTTTTTCTTTTTTTTTTTTCGGGGGCGGGATTAGGTCTGACAATAACTCCAATATTGGGAGAGTTTATTGCGAGGCCCGGCTAAAACTCATTATTTTCTCTCAGACATCCCAAGTACAAAAGAAATGATGTTATGGTGTTTTGTCCAGGTCCCTACAGATGTAATGATTTACAGAGGCAAAGGTGGGGGGCGGGGCGGGGGCGGGGGCGGAGTGAGGTGCTGTTCATTTATGTGGATTTGGAGGATAAGAATGCAAGGTAAGCGTACTGTTAATACAGTAGCACCCTGGGCCTGGTATTGATTACACGGAGGTGCTACGGTACGTTATCTGTGGTGTGCTTTAAAGAATACACAACACGCCTCATATGCTTTGTATCATTGTAATGTTGGCCATTCTCTCCATGCTTTATTCCTTTTGTTTTTTTAGAGCGTGCACGTCATCCCCTTTTTCCACACAGAGCCAGGAAGATTTAAGTCAGCACATTCATCTTGTAGTGGTTGACCTACATGTAAAGTCAGTCGAGGGAACGTACACATGGACCAGATGGTTACGTGGTCTTTAAGGACGATCACAAACAGAGCAGGTTAGCCTGATCTCAGATCAGTGCTTTTTGAAAAAGGTTGCCTTAAAAATAGTAAAGAGAGAAGTCCACGCTCTGATCTCAGCGCCCCCCACTGTCCACTCAACACAGTTCTTTTTTTTTTTTAACCCTGATAAATGTTATGCTTTATAACACTGTAGGTCAAACTGTTTTTTTTCCCTGCCTTTATAGATGAGGACAGTCGCCACCATTTATGTCGCTTCAAATGAGTATGATGGGTAAAATGAAGAAGAAAAAAAAAATTAATACATTTATACTATTCCGCTGCTCTTGATTACCCTCTGCCCCCGACACGGTGTGACCCTCATCTTGATTGCTCTCTGCCCCCGACACGGTGTGACCCTCACTTTTGGTACCACTTGAAAAAAAACTTTCCAGAATCAAAAATGTCTCCCCCCCCCCAAAAAAAGGAAAATATTTACAAACACAAATTCAATAAGTTATCACAGAGGAAAGGTACGATGTAAAAGTTTACATGAGTAACATTCTTAGACGTTCCTCAAACAGTACGGGAACTATTTAATGTTTTAGGAATCAGGGTGGGGTAAAACAAAGGGGCAAATGTAGAGTAGGCTTTTTACTTCACTGAGGTCATTTCTGTCCACAAGGGGGGGCATGACAGAAAATAATTGAGAACCACTGGGTTAAACAGACTTGACTGTCCTGCCTGCAGTCCATCCACGCTGTTAAGCACTGACTCTGCAGCAGCTAGAAGTCGTAGCACAGAAAAAAAAGGACTTTTTTATTTAAAACTAGCCACTGTCTGAAACACATATTTTTTCTGTATTAATTTAAAATGTGTTTATCAAGTTTTGATTTAAAGGGATTTTCATTGCATTTTCAGAAAATGTACCAAATTTTCTGAAACTCGGTTCTTGTAAAAATGTGGAAATCTAAAAATTGATTGGTGTAAAATGCGACGGTATAAATGCGTCCGACTTTGCCTTTAAATCCCCGCCTGCCAAAAACCAATGGAAACATTAATCTTGCGTTATCCGCGGTGTACCTGATTTGCTTCCTATCAAATCTGTAATGAGCTTCAATTAAGATTTATTATGCAAATTAACCCTCAGCTGCTGCCGACTGCAGGAGCAGGAGCTATGACAATATTGTGCTAATGGTGCGATCTGTAACAATTATAAAAGGTAAACTGCCTTCACACTGCGTGCTCCGCGTCTCTCCCCGAGAGGTCACCCTGCCCAACGTGTACTCAAACCTAGTGGTCACGGAAGGGAACTGCTTATTTAAGGCTCACGTCTATCAAACCATTCAGTCTTAAACAACGTGGACTGATGTCATTCAGTACGAACGAAGGTAAATCTCTGCACCTATAATCTGCTGTCACCAAACTGGACTCCATTTTCTTCTCACTTTTCTTCCCCCCCCCCACACACACACACACACACACACACGCTGAGGTTCTGATCAGACGCAGTGCTGCCGGACACTTGACTGCGGCCCAGTGTGAAGTTGTGAACCTCGCACCGTTTGCGACTTCATTTAGCACCAGGCTGATGGCTTTCTGACAGCTTTATGGCTCCTGTGCTCTATGAGTCGTCATGAAACGCAATTACATAGAACCTAATTTGATGAATCAACCCAGTGTTCTCCTGGCTCTGCCGACCTTGCTGGCCTGCCATCATTTTTTCCCCCCCTACACCTGGGTCAAAAAAGGGGCTTTCATAATCCCAGATGAAACGCTCTGAACGTTCGCTGCGTTTTTTTTTTTGTTTTTTTTTAACAGCCAGTCCAGCGTAAAGTGTCGTAGTGTTTGTAACTTTTTGTTTTTGGGCCAAAACCCTACATGTAGATGAATTCTTCGACCGCGTGTCGTAAACCTTGGTTTTGGTCCCACCACAGTGGACAAAGAGAATTGCTATTTTTGGTACTCAATAAAAAATGACGACATATTTTACAGGGAATAATTAACTGCAGATAAACAGCTTTAACTAAAAGCGGTCTTTTTTTTTACAGACGTTCTGCTGAAGTAATAAAGAGAAAAGAACACATTAAGCTTTATGGAAAACATTAAACAGTCATTTATCAATGTTTTACTTTTTTTTTTCCTAGTTGATAACAAGTACACACACACACACACACACACATATATATACAGTAGTCTTTTTGTTCCACATCCTAACCTTAATGATTACATATATCCTTCATTTTAATCCTTAATCTGAGCCTAATTTTAATCCTTACTCCAAATTAACCCTAACACCCAAAGTTACCCCCTCACTCTGTGGGGGCTGCTGAACTGAACTGTCCTCATGAAGAAGTGTCCCAACACTTCAGTCCCCCCCAATTTAATGTCCCCACTACTGTACGTTGTTTGATCAGAACTATACAAACAAACAAACAAACAAACACATCTTGATCAGAACTATACAAACAAACACACACACATACAAATATTTACATTTATATATATATTTATACTAATATTTGTATTACTATATATTGTAGTTAGCTTACTGCTAGCATTGAAGAACGATTATACTAATATTTTTATTACTATATATTGTATTTAGCTTACTGCTAGCATTGAAGAACGACGGTTTCTGATAGTGAACCAGTTGTTTTGATATATATGTATATATGTGTACATACATATATACATTACATGATATTAATATATTTATACATGTATATATGTGTACAAATATATAATCACATATATACACTGTATATAAATATATATGTATATATACACATTTAGATGCTAACTTTAATAACATTTTAAATAAATGAAAATAATTTAATACTTATATATTTACCACATTAAATACGTTTCTTTACCACCTTAACATCTATTTCCCTTTCTCCTCAACTGAATGTCATACTTCAGAGAAAAAAAAGTGTGTCTTGTTATTAATTGCCTCTTGAAAATTAATGACCAGCGTGAAACAAAGGACTGGGAGGTAGACGTCTATTTCTAGCCTAAATACTGTAAAAAAAAAAAAAAAAAAAAAAGTGCTCTGCCTTTGTCCCATTATGAAGACTCCCAACATGTGCTTCACCGGAGCCGTAATCCTGTGCTTTCACCACCTCAGCTGCTCTGCACTGCCTTGTGTTTACAGCCTGTTTGCTGGACTGTATGTGCTGAGCTGGCGTGTTGAAACAGCTTAATTGATACTCATTAAACAGCAGTGACAGCCTAGGTGTCTGTGATGAATGTCGAATAATTCTGTTGTACTTACAACTTGATTAAGAAGAAGTGCACAACACGCCGGCGTTGGAGCCAACGGCTGGGTGTGTACGCACTAAACCGGCTACTTAAAACCAGCGCTCCCTTCTGGTCGCGTTACCTGCCCTTTAAATTAGTCCGTACTTTAATTAAATTCTCCCCAAATTAGCATTTTTATAAAAAAAAAAAAATTCTAAATGGAAAAGTTTCCCATTTATAAATAGCTCAGAGAGTAGAAGCGAACAATAAAGTCAAACTAACAAAGTGAATTATATTGACTCGTCTGTGTGTTTATGCAGCCACAGTCTGGCATTTTCCTACAATAATAAAGTCAATGGATGTCAGGCAGATGAAAAATGCACGTCTTGTATTATTTCAGTTAGAAATTAGAGGCAATTGGAATTGGTTCAAAATTGACTGTCTTTGAAATCAGTGCATGACGAATGGTATAATTTAGAGAAGAAAACGAACGCGGGGAAACTAAAAATATTATTCCGCAGTGTTTTATGTGCCACCATATTCCACGAAGATCAAGTAATTTTGCTAAATACCCCATAAAAACTACTTAGATTTTTTTTTTCTTTCTTCACACTGTCATAAGGGTACGGGCTTTTTGGAATGAAGATTAAATCATGGCGGTGGAGCGCAGTCAGTCGTCCCATCGTAATAATCACTTTAGAAATATATATATATTTTAAAATGGATTTTTGTTTGGTTTGACCACCACAGAAAAAAGCCAACGTTAAAATCCTCATCACCTGCGACGTTCCCAGGTCTGTGCACCTTCTCGGACTGTTGACATCTAATTAAAATGATGTGGTACCAGAAAGAGACCCCGTCTCTGAGTTTGGAGAATACATGACAGACAGGGAGTTTCCACAGAGGATGGATTTACGACTTCATCCTCACATGATTAATATTAGACGCCGAGGTCCTTTTACAGGAAGCAGCGTGTCTAATTATGGCCCGAGTGAGAGCAAACATGATGCCAGAGGCAGGAACCACCGTCACACCAAAGCGTTTGTGGCGGGGTGATGTCATTGTCACCGAGGTTTCTGTGACGCCACCGATTGAGAAATTGCCGGAGCTGCCTGGCTTTTTCAACATCGAGCGTCCAACAGCTGCCGTTGACCCGCTGTTGACGAACACTGTGGGATCTGGCTTCAACCGAGAACTCACCAGGGAAGTGTTTCGCCCTTTTTCGTCTCGTCAAGGTTACGCATTTCTCTCTCTCTCTCGCATAATGATACCGCTGACCTCACTGTTGATAACTGCAGCATGTCCACATTTGTTGTGCTCCTAAGAGCAGATGCAGATTCATCACCCACACCCACACCCCCCCGACCCCCTCCCCTCCTCACCTTTACAAGAATTTCATGGACTCATGGCGTCCTCCCACGTTTGCCTGTTCGTCGTATATCTCAGCCCAGACATCCGAGAGCTTGCTAGCCGGGCCGGGCTGTAAGTCATCCTGTCCATCAGGAGCAGAGCGCGCTCTCCTCTGCCCGATTTTCAGCTGTTACTTGTAAACCAGAACAGCATTGGTGAGATTAACTGAGTGACAGGAGGCCTCTAAAAGCAAACTATAATGGTACAATATGTTACACTCATATTTTATGGCCTTCGGTGTGTGTAAGGCCCAGAGTGTGTATGTGTGTAGACGGATCAGCTGAGGAATCTAATAGGCCGGCATGGCACCGTAGGGAGCGGAGAAAGTAATGGTGTTGTCTTACTGCTGGTTTTCATAGGTGGATAATAATGATACAGGTGTATACAAAACAGGAAACCCGCTCTCAAAAACACACACAATTCTTTTTTTGTTTTGTTTTGTTTTACTTTTCGTGTGTTTTCGGACTACCTTCTAAAAGTCACTCATATAGAAGTTACTGTCAAAATAAGTCTTGTTCAATCCAAAAACGTTTAAGTTGTCAAGGACACATTCCCGCCCTCCCATATCCTGGCAAACATTGAGTCAGCAATTGTCTGTTGTATTTTCATCACTCCTATCTGCTGCCCCCCCCTCACCCTCCCCCCAGGCCATTTTAAACTTGTAGAAAGTGGTCATTTTCTCTGTGTCAGTAGGAGGTCAGTGTTGTGGCAGTCAGCACAGCTACTCAGTCTGGTGAAACAGAGTCTATCGGGACCCCTAAAGACATTTTGTCCGATGCAGTCGCCTCTCACTGTCTGTCTTTT